TGTAAATATAATAATGAGAGGTCCAAATGCTGAAAGTTTCAGCCTGATCGCAGACACTTTTGCATAAAGTGGGAGATTTCCGGTGGAACTACCCTTATATTGAATAAACACTGACAGGATGGAAAATAACATTTGTAATCAGATCTAGCATACGCACAATGTCGACCTATCATTCCCATACGTTTTGTTCTTTCAGATTAAAAATAAAATCTGCCACACCATTGCTCAGTATCGAAACATCACCATTCGTATGGAAGAAACAATCGTCATCCAGCCAAACATAATCTCACCAACACACAAAATTGTTTTCGATGATACCGCTAGAGATAAAGGTTAGACTACTACTGATTTTTGAAGAGAACTTTTCACTAAATCCATTGAAAAGCTCACGATTTTTTACCGTCTACTAGTATACATTTATATCTTTTGTGTTTTTAGACACCCTCAAAAAGAAACTATTGAAGTGCCATCAAGGATATAGTCGATCTTATCCAGGTGCAGCTGAAAGCAGCATTTTGCAAAGAAAGTTTCGGAAATTGGTGAAGTACGGCGCACTTGGGCGACGGAAAGTGGTGTTGAAAAAAACTGCTGATAATGACAGCAGCAGAACCTATTTTATAAAGAAAAACAATGACGGCAGCACAGGTTTATTCGTGGAAATAAATGACAAAAAGAAGGTGAAAAAGTAAGGTCTGTCGATTTTTTATCTGTTTGGCCGCGGAGCTACATATTTATTTTTAGGTCAAACTTTGCAACTACTAAACAGACGAGAAGAAATTTCCATTGCTACTGATCTTTTCCTCAATTCTTTACTGTTTTCTACAAAACTGGTTTCGGCTGTATTTGTTGAGCAAATTCTCAAATCAAAACAACTTGAAGTTTCAACTAGAAGAATTCATGCTGTACACGGATATATTGCACGACACGTTCATTCTGAACCCATGCTTGAACAATCGACTCTTGTTGATAATGGAAGTGATATGTAAGACAAAATACACGAATTTTTCATTGATCAATATTGCAATATCTATTTTCTCAGTGAAGAATTTGATCCAACACAATGCTCGACACCATCAAGCAGCAGTAGCGACTGTAGCATTCACAATGAAATTCATAATGAAACTCTGGAAACGACAATCAATACCGACAAAAGGAGTTCATCGAACGAAAGAAATAACTCAACGCAAACTGATTTCTCACAATTAACATGTGACATAACCGAAGAGGTTGGTGATAATGAAATCGAAGAATCCGATACACGTGACAAAATCTATGAAGGTGGTATCGAACAATCGAGTGAAGATCAATATCAAAGAGAAGACTTTGAAGAAAAAACATCATCCGATGTGAGGAGGATGAGTACATATTCAGGTGAAATCAACCAATCTAAATCAACCAACGATTGCAAACGGTATGCTTCTATCTACTCAGAAAACTTATTGTTTATTTACGTACAAAAATTTCACCGAATCTATTTTTTAGAATGAAATTAACATTAGAGCATGATAAACTCGAATTTTCTGCGAATCGTATCGAGTTAAATGATGAAGCCGAATGGAACTTAAATTTAATATTTAATAACCAACAGTAACTAATTTCTCTTTTGAAAAATAAAGAATAGTATCTGATTTTGTTGTAGAATTCTGAGTAGTGAATATGAGTATAGTGCACTGGAAACTGCAGTAGTGACAGATCCTGCTCGAGGTGTATTCACAGCGTTCTCAAATGCAGATGAAACAGCAACAACAGAAACACACATAGAGAAGACAGATGCTGGTAGCGAGTCATCACCAATAAAGCCGGCTACCGTTTTTGTAACTGTTGCCGAAGTTCCAATTGGTTTATTGAAGAATACGACGGATAATACTGAACGTCTTCCAGTTGAAATACAAATGGCTAAAACGAATCAATATTTTGAATCACTAGATGAAGATCTGATCACGAACACAGACTCAACAAACATTGCTGCCATTGTTGAAGTGATAACAGAACAGCCATCGACAAAAAAGAAGAAAAAAAAACAAAAACGTATTTTTCCACAAAGAGCAGAAGGATTTTATCCTACTCGCTCGCGAAAATGAATCTTGTTCTCTTGACCTAAGATAGCCGATAAAAAACAAATGTATATATTTTTCGTTTTCTGAACTTATAGTTTTTTGATAGATGCTCTTTAAGCTTAATACATTTCTTGCTAAATAAAGAACGAATACATTGATGAACCAGAAAGTAAAGCACTACCGTGATAATGATGGACATTTAGATATTGATTCGTAAATGATCTGGTTATCTTTAAAGAGAATAATCTGAAGACGTTATGTCGCGAACTCAATATAAAAGAATTCAGTTCTAGTAGAATCTTTCCATCGTTTTCTTTTGTACTCTACTGGAATGCAATTTGTCATTTATGTTAGGGGTCTTATAATTAATCTATCCTTAACTCAAGTCCTTGCTCACATATCGTACTTGTTTAAAGCGCCCTGTCTATCAGGCACCCTGCTTATCAAGCATCTTGTCTAGCAGGCACTCTGCCTATCAAGCACCTTGTCTGACAGGCACCCTGTCTATCAAGCACCTTGTCTAGCAGGCGCCCTGCCTATCATGCACCTTATCTAGCAAACAGTGCGGACCATGTAATATGCGAACCTCACCATAATGTGCACATATTGATAGGCAGGGTCACATATCCTTTTAGAAGTTAGATTCTGTTCTATAAGCAATTAGTTGATCATTATGTTTATCGAGATGTAACATTGTCACCAAAGGTACGGTTAAAATTGACATTTACAAAACTGAACTATCAGCAATTGGCGAAAGTTCAGTGCCAAAGTCAGTACGGCGAAATTCATGCTACCCCAAAGGAGAAAGTTTTTACTTTCTTTGCCGCTGCATTGCTTGCTTCCCTTGACTGGTGTGCCCTACCCATTGCATAGCAGCCAGTACACCGCCTGCCAACACTGCGCGTATATCCTTCCTTTTCTTCAAGCTTGTGATCAGCGAGTTTGCGCTTCAAATGACTTGCTAGCTGTTGTCTCGGGCCAGATTTCAGATTCTCGAATGGTGTACCAAGAAGTAAAGATCACACGAGACTTTCACGAAACTGTAGCATTGTCATATGGCTTGTTTCATACGTTTCCTTGTAAATCAAATGGGCGTTAACTATTGATGCTCCAAATATCAGCTCAAATACCACTTTTTGATATCATTTTATAGATCGTCTGAGGCATGTATAATATGATGAGAGCTAATCAGATAGATCTATACCTTGTTTTCCTTGATTGTAATCCATTACACCTTGTGGTTTCATAACACGTTCGTTTAACTTATTTGTTTTTTTCGTATCTACCATGGTTGCTGAATGTGATGGCTTTGTAGATATCATCAAGACATCTCTTTTATCTTTCCACTTGATTAATTCGATACCATCTTTGTTTTGAAGACCATAAACTTCACCATGCTTGAGCTTTTTCTTAGCTACTTCATGTAATGATCCAGCACGATTACTTCTGAATATTCCAATAAGATATGTATCATTTTGTAATAAATATTGTGCAAGAGAAATAGTTGTAAAGAAGTTGTCAGCTACCACAGTTCGATAACATCCCAAAAAATCATTTACCAATTGCCTTACAACTGTTTCAGCATGACCATAACCTGCGATTGAACTCTGCTTACCAGTATAAACCATAAAATTCCAAGTATATCCTGTCGTACTAGTTACCTTGTATATTTTCACTCCGTATTTATGAGATTTACCGGGAATAGACTGTTTGAAGAGAAGTCTACCTTCCAATGGGGCCATTGTTTCATCAATAGTAACAATTGAGCCTGGAATGTAAACTGACATAGATCTCAGTTGTAGCAGGTCGAGAAGTGGTTTCAGCTTGAACAATCTGTCGCCATCTTCATGTTGCTCCTCACTGTTCGAAAAAGGATAAAATTTGAGAGTTAATTCAAATCTGTCTCTTGACATCGCATTTTGA